TGCATTTTAATGATACTAAACTTAAAATTAATGCTATGCACAATAATGAAATGAAATTTAATGATATGACACCATTAAAATGCAATTTAATTATAGAAATTGAGTGATGCATGAATATATGATAAATGTTCAGATGAAATAATAAACATTTAATGTTTTCAGATGAATGAAATATAAGTTGCACAAACAACACACATATACTTGTTTCACACAAACATCGCATGTAACACACAAGGACGATAATAAATAAGGGTACTACAAGAAGAATAAAGGAGGTTGGAACAATCATACCAATTTTGACTATCTATGGCTCAACTTGCTACACACGTAAATGATTAGTAAACGATGCCAAATATATCATAAGTGAAATACGATGAATCATATACAAATGGATACAAATCTTTTGCACTCATGAGATACACTGATAGACACTCCTTTATAAGACATCATATGAACTGATATATTCTGATCATCTTTAATTGACATTTAAGAATAAGCATATGATTAGCTACTTCATTTGTGTATAAATGTTTGACAATATTGGATAATTGCTTCAACACTTGATGGTTATATGAATCTTTCAAAACTTTATGCTTTGAACCCTTATTAATTGGTTGACAAATGAGTAAACATTGCTAATGTTCATAAATTGTCTTCATCTTCTTTCACAACGACCCCTTGGAATTGTAGTTCAATATAAATGTTTCTTGTTCGATTTTTCCCGAACAATCAATAATTGAAAACATTTTTACATAACGGTATATTGTTCGCTTTTATGAATAATCAGCAACACAAAACAAAGAACATAATGCTAGATTTCCAGTAAATCATGCACACACCTCAAAGTTTTTTTAGTTTAATCCTTGATGAGTCAAACTTGGAGAATCTCTTAACTCGATTAACGATCAAATAAAATTCTAGTAAAGAACTACTTGAAATCATTCCATATTGACCAGTCAATGATGAATCAATCATTAGGTTTTAATGAAATATGTTTGGTTTCCAGTTAGATGAGAAAGCTTCTAAAATAACAAATTTAGGATCAAAAAGACTTTATGTTCCCGGCTATCAAGTTTCTTAGACTCGATCAAAAGAACATCTTGTAGGCCACTTATTGGTTGGGAATATAAATGTGAAAAACGGTCTAGAAGGGAGTTGAATAGACTGATCCCTTTAAGAACAATTTCAAAAACTTTTATCACAAAATCAGAGTTTGATGGGCAGAAGCTGAACAAAAATATAATAGAAGCATAAAATCTCATCAATATGAATTCTAACCAATGTATTACAATGTTATCACTGAGAACGTGATGATACAAGGATCTAAAACAAATAGGATGATTCAAGTTGCTTGATCCAAGCAATTTAATATCTTAATGTAGACATGTTTTTATCACAATCGACTTAAGCATGATTCGATAGGTTTGATTCAACACAGACCTATGTTTATACAATAAATTACTATAATCACGATCTAACCTAGATGATATACAAGTTATGCTATTACTTAACTTTTACAAGATGAATGAAGAAAAATTAAAGGAGATACGGGAGGAAGATAGTACACGGAGATATATAGTGGTTCAACAATCGTCCTCGTTATGCCTACTACACTCTTTAATGGTTTGAAATCATTGGAAAATAATCACGTCTTCCACTCTTTTCAAAAGTTAATATACAAGTATTTTGATACTATGAACTATCAGCAATTTAAACGCTAATAGACACACTTCATTATCTTATACACAAATCAAATGACAATTCCTTCTATTGATGAAGATTCTCAACTGCTACCCACAAGAAATCGTGTATACTCTAAAATGACAAATAAATCATATATACACAAATTGACAAATATCAAAACTAAAATGATACCGGCGATGAATGAAATTTTAGTCTCCTCTTTTTTGATGTTTAGCAAATTTGGAGTTATTATTTATGATTTTATTTGAGCTATTATTTGAGTTCAAAGTGGTATTGAATAATTCACAAATTTGGTTTTATTGAACATAACATGATGATAGTATACACTTTGAAACTTGAGCACTTATATTTCCTCTGCATTAAACACTTATTGTGCGTAAAAATTGATAATATCTCGATAACTTCTTCTCCTTTGACAAATATCAAAAAGAGAGAAAGAAAGAAAAAAAACACAAACAAATAGTCATGATAAACATAAAGCTTAAAATGCAATGTCATACATTCAATTCAATTAAGTACCAAAAACTTGCATACATACATAAGTGTGTTAGACGTAATTTCAAAAAATTATAAGCGATAGAAGTTAGAAAGAAAATCAGAACAAATATCAGATCAACATATCAAAATAATAGCTTAACCATGCCAAGAAATATATATAAACCAGCAGAAATATCTAAATTAATATCCAAAACAGTAGAAGATGCTATAATAAATCTAAAAATAAAAACACACAAAATGAGCATAAAATGCATGAGGTGGTATTAGGGGTGTTCAAAACTAAATTGGCTTAATAAAAAACCGCAAAATCGAATCGAAATTATAAAATATCGCATTTGATTTGGATGTGTTTGGGTCATTTTCTCACGGAACAGAGCGGTTCGGTTCGATTTACAGTTTATATTTTACAATCCGAATGAAATCAAACAAAACCGCATTATGTTATAGAATCTTACTAACCAATACATATTTCTTTAATTCTTTAGAGAAATCAACGATTTATTTTAATTTACAAATCATAAAAAAATAAAATATTATTCATTTATAAATACTATTTTCACAAAATTTTATTGTATTCTTTATATGATATTTATTTAAGAATGCAATTTTGTCTATATCATTGTTTAGATTTAGATAAAATTATAATATGCAATTTTATGTATTAAATTATAAATTTATTTTGACAATTATAAAATTTTTTTATGGTAATATATGAACAATTAAACACAATTATATTTTCTTCTATATTTGTATGTATGACTTAATAATTTTTTTTTATAAAAAATCGAACCAATCGAACTAACCCAAACAACATTAATTTAGTTTGATTTGGTTCAGATTTAGTTTTAAAAGTCAACTGAATCAAATCGAATCGTATATTTTTTTCTCTTGCGGTTCGGTGATTTTTTTCTTCAAAACCGTCTAAACCGGACCGAGAATATCTTTGGAGATATGACATGATGCATGAATAGTTAATGAAGATCATCTGAAGGAGCAGCAGGAGGATCCTCGTTAAGGTTGAACATGATAGTAGAGGATCCTCAAATTTTCTATTTTTAACATGTGCCCTAACATAAATTAGGAAGACCCAAAAACTTAATACTAATACGAACAAATATTTAATTATTTATTTTAAGTCGGTAACACAAGTATGAAAAGCTAGTACTAAGTATGAAACAAAAGCTCGAAAGAGAGTGAAAGAAAAGATAAGTAAAATGTTAAACGTGCATTTTCAATTCTAGGAAAGATGAATTTGGTCCCACCTTTTTCCCAAAATATCTACAATGACGCTGGTGATGACGAATACACGCATGTTTTACTTTATTCTATTCAATTCTTTATTTGATTAATCCAACTAACAACATCGAAATGAATAAACAAATAGATTGAATATCTTTATTCATCCATTATCCTAGTACAGTTGCAGGCAACACTTGGATTTCGTTGGTCAAGTGAAAGGTATAAATATTATGCTGCAAATCATTTCTATATAAAATAATCCCAACCCAACAACTTGTTCTAGAGAAAGAAAATCAAGTCTTAAAATAAGCTAAAATTCGAAACGACAGAGGTGGTTTATGATGAAAAACAATGTCAAGTCTTGTTTTATTACCGGTTCAGATGCTGTTCCCTGGTATACTCACAAGTCTAGAATCAATGAACCCATCCAAACCAAATTCAATAACCAATCAATATTTGCTACTGTTTCCATAAAGTACATCTCATAATTAAATAATAACCTAACTTTTGTTTCCCCAGTTAATTAAACATTTTTATGTCACTAGTACAACACTTTTTTGTGTAGTAGAACTAACTAGTACAACACTTTTTTAGGAGGAGATTAATAAACAAACATTTGAAACCCTAATCACAATTTAAAAAAATGAATATGTTCATAGATACTTCTGGTTAAAGTGATCTATACAGGAATTTGCAATATTTATTTATGGTAAAAGTAAAAACCTTGAGAGGGTCCAAAACTCTGAAACCATGAAAACACTTGACCATTTATACCCTTTTGGAGGCTAAATTTTCTCTCTCAAAAACACTGTATCAGTGTCCTTATGAAGCTTTAGACGACCAATGATAGGTCCCTCTCGTCATTATAGCCTTTGTCTGACTGCTTTTGGCCAAGAGAACTGATTCAAAGGACACCATTGATTGAGACTATTCATCACCATCTTATGATATTTCCAAGACACTATAAAATACTAAATTAATTATTTAATCCCACTTTGTATCCTTTGTATTTTTATTTTTTCCTAGCTAGATTCTCATTTGTCTCAATGTTTTTTGGCCAACCTAAACAAAACCTGTATTCCCTTATTAAGGAACCAAAGGTAGCATCTTTCATTGGTAAAGTTTTTAAGGCCCTAGAAAATAAGGAACAAATTGACAACCACGTGTTTGTGATAGCAATACATCCCAAATTAAGAAACGAATAGGTGCTGTCATAAATACCATAATATAACACACCAATACATTGCAACAATAAATCATATCCTATAGTTTTTTTTTTATACTAATAAATATATTTTTTTAGTCAGAATAGTATCTAGTTAAAGATTTTTCGTCTGTTTGTTACTTTGACTGTGACTCAAACAAGACCAATGAGTGTTCTTTGTTCCAAATTTGGTTCACTTCTTTCACCTCAATAGTAAAGTTATGGTTTTGTACTAATATAAACCGCATTCATTTGTACATGCTCAAGAGAAAGAAAAATAATAACGATGATAATAATAAGAGAAGATTATTTAAATGTGAATTAAAAATGGCAAGGTTGAAATAATTTTGAAGGTTCAAGAGGGTCTCATGAGAGTGTGGAACCCATTTTTCTGCAGCCAACCTTGAGAAGAAGAAGAGGGTCTTGTTATCTGAGGTGGGAATCCTGATGATGCTGCAACAGCAGTTGCGAACGAATGTGGCGGCCCAGTTTGCCATTTTTGTTGATCCGTCATTGATAATGATAAATCGCTTCCAATTCGGCCTCCGTTGCTGCTGCTGCTAGATACCTGCTTAATCATATCGACATATTAAAACAACTCGTATAGTTGTACTAGTAAATTAACTAGTTCAATCGCAAATTCAGCACACTTTTGTACTCGCAGTGAGTTTGACGAAATGGTTCACTATGATGTAGCAAAATGTAACTGATAAATCTATAGCGAGCGATATAAAACATGTCTTCAATTACATTAGTCCTTGAGACAATTAGAAAATATTGAGATTTGGGAGTATCATTGTGTAATATCATGATCATTTAAAACTTCATTTATTATAAAAATTGAAGTGCACAACCATACTAGTACAATCTAAGTACTAATTGAGCTAAAAACAGCAAGAAATTTGAACCAAAGTACCTACATGAAAATTTGAGGGGTGAAGATGTGGAAAACTGTGAAGCATTTGAGGGTGTTGTTGTTCAACAGGTGATCTGTAGGGACCATATCTATGCATTTCATTAGTGACCGGAGATTTAAGATGAGTTTGGCTTAACATCCGCAAGGCTTCGCTCTCTACATAACCGTCCCTTCCATAGCCTTCCATGTTACTTACACCACATGGTTTTGGAAGTATATTTACCGGCTGAAATTCAACGGTGAGGTGATTCAGTGAGAATTCACCAGAAAAGTTAAATTAACTAAATATATGTTAAATTATGCTTACTTTAGGCCGGATTCCACCATTCCGCCAATTTGATTCAGGTGCCATATGCTGATCTGTGTTGTAATTCCCAAATGCTTGACTATTGCTACCTTTAGAACTTGAACTACCCAAACTTAAATCCAGATTATGATCCGCAGCATTACCTGAGGATTCTGTTACCCCATCATGCATTTAATTAACCAAATTTATGTGTGAATAATAAGATTTCATATACATAAACCATATAGTTTGGTGCATACCAGTAGTAGTATTAAGCTCATTATCATAGATGCTGGGATCAAAATTGGTAACAGCTTCTTTGCCATTGCATTTTATTGCTGCTTTATCATATGCCCTTATACAAAATGAGCCACAAAAATTCAAAACCCTAGCACAAATTTATAAATTTTGCCTACAATCTAGTAACTGGAAGGGGATAACAGCAAATAGGCAGGTAAAATGTAGATAAACATACCTTGCAGCTTCAACCTCGGTATCGAACAAACCCAGATAAACATACCTAGTAAATCGAATCAAACTAATCTAATTAATGCTTACTATTGCATTCAGATAAAAAAAGCACGAACAAACATTTTAAAAATAGTAGTAGAAAATAAACGCATACTTTTTGCCTAAGAATTGACCCATTCGCGCTTCCCATCTTCCACATTTATGCAAAGTTACACCTCTATATTTCGAACTCCCTCTCGGAAATCCAGTGCTTTGTCGCCGAAGCACATGCACAAACTCTTCCTTGGTTAAATTGCTCATCTAAAAAGTAGTAATTATAATCAAAAACCACAAGAAATTAGTACAAGATGAATGATTCTTATAACTCACCTGCTTCAAATCCTCTTCATAATCTTCTATGTTGAAGTTAATATCAGCTTCCACTCCTCTGAACTTAATTGCAGCTCTATCATATGCACTGACCAATACAAACATATTTTCGTAGTTATAAAAACAAAACCTTATGTATGAAATAAATTGTATTAAAACAAAATTAATAGTGACTCACCGAGCAGCTGCATGTGCCGTGTCAAATCCACCTACACAAATTTACCCAGACAAAACAATCTCATCAGTAATCCCTTCAAATTTCCTCATAATATATACTACTTGTCTCGCTCCATCCCTCCCAAATCAATTTTTACTATTAAAAAAAATTAAGCAAAGTTTTCATCCACTTACCCAAATACACTTGTTTTCCACAATCCCTGCAGCAAAAACTCAAATTCAATAATTCATCTCTGTATAAAAAGATTATAAAGAAATAATACATTAACTACTAACTAACCATATATGAGATTCCCATCGACCTGTTCGTCGGTAAAAAGTAACACCTCTATACTGCGAACTTCTCGACCGTGGTCCACGACGACTCTTCTTAATCGGTTGGGACGACGCTTCAACTGACTTCCCACCGTTAACCGTTTCCGATTGACAAAACTTCACACCAACCCAGTGAGCACGTGGAAACGAAGAACTAACTCCTCCGCCGCCTCTACCGGGAGAACAATCCGCAACCGCTGTCACATCAGAATCCTCCACCGGAAAAAACTGTCTAGTCACCGGCGGAAACTCGTCACTGTCATCCATTGAGAATCCGAAAATCTTACTAGTTCTTTTCTTTATAACTCCGTTACCTTTACTGTTATTGCTGTTACCGTTACCTTCTTCTTCCGATCCATCTTCTATAACAACTACAGATGAACTTGAATTTGAAACAGATCCAACTCCTTTTCCTTTTTCATCAACTTCCTCACCGTCGATTGAACATCCTTCTGATTCATACTTTTTTCTCTCATCGGGTGAGTCATTTAGATTCCACATTCTTCTTAATCTCAACTTCGTAGCTAACATGAACAAGAAAAAGATTAACAAAAAGATGAAGAAATAAAAACAAGTAACAATTCTAATTCATTCACACTATCATATAATCAAAAAATTAAATTAATTTTATTAATATCTGAATTTCCTGTTCCATGTTTACCTTATCTCTTTCACTCTCACACTCTTTTTTTGAGAATGAATTCAAAAAAAAAAAACTCTTGCTGTTGAAGAACTGGGAGAAGAAGAAGAAAAAAGAAAGTAAATGTTGAAAAAGATCTTAGTGATTTCTCTGAACTGCCCAATACAGCATAGACGAGGCAAGTTTGAGCATGGTAAGACGAAAGCAGTTTCTATGTTTTCTTTCTCTCTCTAGAACCACTTGCTTGTTGTTCTTCTCTCTCTCTCTCTAACTCTATCACTCTATATCTATCTATTTATCTTTTTTTTATCTGATGATTCATTCATTCACTGAAAAAATTGAACAATGAATATTTATCTATATTTGTTTTGCTTCTAACAGAGGAAAGTCCTTACTTTAATTGCGTTATATAATTTATTAATTTTTGAAACTCAACTGTACTGTTAGTATGTATTTATTTCCATTTTTATATGTTTTATTGAATGAATTTAAATAACAAGTGGTAAAAATAGGGAAAGAAAGAACCATCTCTTTCTTGAACAACTTTCCCACGTTAACCAAATCGAAAAAGCATCTATATCTATATATCTATCTCTCACCTGTCTTTTTTTCTCTCTCTTAGTTTTTCCTCTCTCTAGAAAATTTGAATATCTGTTATTAGTAATTGACAGTGGAAGAGTCTAAAAAATGGATAATTACATGAGTTAATTATAAGAGGCAAGGGAAAGTGGAATGGAGTGGTGTGAGGATTTTTATCTTTTTGGGATTATGACTAAGTTTTACTATGTGGATGCTACAGGGGACAAAAGAGGAAAGTAATTAGGGAGGATTGAGGAGGGTATTTTGGGGAGGGAATTGGAATTATGTGTTGTGGGAGAGAGATAGAGAGAGTTTGGTATGAGAAAAAGGAAATGAGAATAATGAGAAGTAAAAGGAAACTCTTTCCAGAAAAGTCCAATCCAAGAGTACGGGAAGAGGGCCACCTTTGCCTCTTTCGTTTCTCAACTGACCAATACCCTTCTAACGCTGTACCTCGTATTTATGAGCTTTTTTCACTAGATTACTCTCTTCTAAATGCGCGTGCTGTCCCAACATATCTTATGCTACTACTTCAATAATTTTTTTAAATATTTTCTATATCTTAAAATAATAATCATTTAAAGTTGTTACACGGAGAATAAAAAAATAATAATTCAGTCAATAAAAATAATATTTTTATAAAATTATTTTTTATTATTATTGATTGTGACACATTGTCATATTTAAAAAAGTGTATATATAAGATAAAATTGGTAAAAATTAATTATAATTACGTTGAAAAAGTAAAGAGATTATTATTTTAAGACAATTTTTTAAAGTTAAAAAGACAATAGTTTTGAGACAGACCGAATGTTATTTTTAGTTTTAGATGGATTGTTATTTAAAGTTAAAAAGACAACACCATTTTGATTAACCTATGGTCATGACACAATGTTGCCATTAGAAATCTGTCTACAATCAAGAAGAATTAAGAAACATCAAGATATTCCTTTTGAATCTTATTGGAATATGATGTTAGATGAACTGGTTGATTTGGATGAAGAAAGACTGAGAGCTTTTGACCTCTTAAGGATACAGAAGAAAAGAGTGGAAAGATCTTATAATAAGAGAGTAAAATCCAAGACATTCTTGCCTGAGGATTTGGTGTGAAAGGTTATTCTCCCAATGGATCGAAAGGATAAGATCATGGGAAAATGGTCTCCTAAATAGGAAGGACCTTTTAATATTATCCAAGTATTTTTTGGTGGTGCCTATTGTTACCTTGAAAAATATTAAAGTATTCAAGCATGTGTATTAAATGAGGGTATTGTCATAAGCTAAGGGCCATCCTCTAAAGTAGGGGTTTTTAGGAAATTGGAGCCAAAGTGTTTGAAAATTTGGTTTTATTAAACTAGATTTAATGTTTAAAGGGAATGTCACGCCAAACTGTCGAAACTGAGCTAGGTCGACCAAAAGGAAATAAAAGAATATATGTTAAAAAATGGTCGAAATTAGTTTAGTCGGTCAAAGGGTGAAAGACAAGGAAAATGGTCGAAATTGGTTTAGTCGACCAAAAGGGTTTCTGGACTTAGAGGAATTGTTGTTGATTTTTAAATCTTTCGAAAGGGAAAGTGTCGAACCGAGTTAGAAGTGGTTTACTTTCAGAAGCTAGGAGCGGGAAGATTTATATTTCAAAGTCATCAGTAGTTGCCAGCGGTTTAAAATGTGTTTAAGCGCCAAATAGGTGGAGACATCCAGTGAAGAAGTTGTCTCATGATTTTAATATTGTCCGTAGATTTCATCTAGGAAATTACATTGTAAATATTTTAAATAAGCATATTTAGTGTAATTTTTTGGTGTGTTCACTTTTATGCTCAAATCACTTGTCAAAACTCTGTCATTCTGAGCGTTAGGAAACCAAGAGTGAAAAAGTGCTTGACGTACGTGAATCACCACTTTTATTTCAATGCAAATACTTTATTTGTCAATTATCTCTTTTAAATACTTTATTTACTTTCTATGTACTGTCGAACAAAGTGTTTACGTTATTTTCTACTTCACGTAAACAATTCAATGCTCTCTGTCGGTCACGAGTCACCAATCAGTTAGTTTACTGAATCTTATTTTCATATGAATACCTTCTGTTGGTCATGAGTCACCAGTCAGTCGATCGATTCATAGTGTGGAAATCCGTTATACTTGTTCCCTTAGTCATGGAAAATTGTTTCCCTTGATAAGGATTTCGATAGAATAAGTATAATAACAAAACTCTTAGCACACGTCTTAAGATAAACTGGTCGATCTTGCGAGTTACCCTTAGTTTTAGGACTTTGGGAGGACCGACGATTGTTTACCATTTTCCACAGTAAACAAATTGGCACACCTGATGGGACCCAAGTGCTAAGAATTTGTCTTAAGTGTATGCAGCTTAGGAATGGAAAGTTAACCAAAGAGTATAATAAACCATCATCTAGGAAGCATATATTAAGAATGACAACTCCTGATAATCTAAAAGTAGACGAAATACCATCACGAACTTTAACTACTACTGATCTAGTAGTTTCTTAAGTTGTACCTTTTCCTTCAGTCGGGTCAACTGCAGCAGGTTCTGCACAAATTTCTCAGGCTCCACCGGGAAGCCCAAGGCCTGTAATAATTACGACCACCATACCTAATGTGCCTCGTTTTGGTAATGTGGATCCTGTTTATGGAATGCCATGTTCCATGATGCCAGGATTCTAGTCAACATCGAATGCAGCAGTGTTGTCAGATAATGTTAAAAATTTGAACTCCCCGTTACAAGGATCTGCACCGGGAGGAAATAATAGAGGCAACCAAATTAGAGGAATGCCCTCTCAACCAATAGTACCGCTTCTCACTAACACTTCAGTGGCAGTGTTAAGGCAATAAATATATGATAGTAACCATGAGTTGTTTAATATGTTAACTAACCAAATAGGTAATGTATTTAATCCTATAGTACAAGAGTCGGCTGAGACTAATAGGCAGTCCGCTGAAACAAATCGACAGGTGATTGCCCAATTAACACGTTTGTGTAATTTTTTAGGTGCTCCCCTAGCACCTATTCGACAGGCGCCACTTGTTCGACTAGATTCCCCTGGTCAAAGGGACATGGGGGAAATACAAGATGAAACTGTCCATCAGGGACAAGCTCTAGTACCTCCAAGGAATTTGATTATTGATCCACCTAGGGAATTAGTACATCGACATCAAGAGGCTAATCAAATTGTTGAACAAATTCGACAAGAGGATTTAGCCGTAGAAAATAATCTAACCACCATTGTCGAAAGAATTATGGCTAGGAATGGTATAAATGCCACACTTCAGAGGCCAACATATTCTTCCCCTTTGTCTGAATATATCTTACAGACTGAAAACCCTAGAGGATGGAAAATTCCTAAATATACAAAATTCGGGGGAGAATCTGGAGAGTCGACAGTGGAACATATTACTAGGTGTTTGACTAAATATGGGGATATGTCGAATAATGAAAACTTAAGGGTAAAACATTTTCCTTCTTCCCTTACTAAGGCAGCTTTCACGTGGTTTACCACTTTGCCTCCGAATTCGATTGACTCATAGACTAAGTTGGAAAAACTTTTCCATGAACAGTTTTATGAGGGTCATTCAAAAATTAGTTTGGTTGAATTGTCAAACATTAAAAGAAGGTTTGTTGAAACCATTGATGATTATATAAATATATTTAGGTCATTGAAAGCAAGATGCTTTACTCAAGTACCAGAACATGAGCGTGTTCAAATGGTTGCTGAAGGTTTAGATTATTCCATTAGGAAGAAAATAGATCTGACCTTCATGAAGAGTATGTCACAGTCCATTGATAGAGTTCAACATCTAGAGCATTTGTGACTAGAAAAGGTCAGACATACTAAGGATAGGACTAAGAAAGAAAAAGCAGCCTTCATAGATTATGATGACACATATCCCATTTGTGAGGCCAACTATACCTTACCAACAGAGGCAAAGGTCGACGTGGCTGAAATGAAGCCAGGGCCAGCATATGAATGTAAATCACTATTTCCTGCTAAAGGAAAAAATATGGTCGAAAACAATCCAAAATTTCCAGCGAAAACTTATACCTTTGATGTTACTAAATATGAAGAAATTTTTGATTTGTTAGTTAATGATGGTCAAATTTTAGTACCCCCAAGTGCTAAGTTACCACCATTAGAACAACGACAGAAAAGAGGTTTTCATAAATTTCATAATTATCTTGGTCACACAACCTCTCAATGTTATCTTTTCAGGGATCTCGTACAAAAATCGCTGCAGGAGGGTAGATTGAAATTTGCTGCACGGAAAA